CTATGTTTTTGGCTTATCAATAGTTTCTTCTTTTTTTCTTACAGTGAAGCCATCCTACAAATATAGTTCTTTCCCTTTTATTGAAAAAGTAGTATTTCATTGTACAGGCTTATCATAATTTGATTATCCAGTAACCCGTTGATAGATATTTGTGGTTTTTTCCCAGGTTTTTCACTATTTTGAATACAGCTGCTTTGAACATTCATGTAGAAAACCTTTTAAAAACATTTGCATTCATTACTCTTGGCAAATATATAAGAATGGAATGGCTGTGTCATATGGAAGTATATGTTTACTCTTTAAGAAACTGCCAAATTATTTCTTAATGTTTGAATGTACCATTTTACACTTCCAGTAGTAGAATACAGCAATTCTGGTTGCTCCGTGGCCTTGCCATCTGTAGTATGGTCAATCTTTTTAAATTTTATATATAATGTAATGGTATCTCATTGTGGATATAAATCCATTTAACTCATGACTAATGATGTTAAGCATATTTTTATGTGCCCATTTTCCATTATTATGTCTTCTTTGGAGAAGTGTCTGCTCAAATCTTATTACAAAATTGTTTTCTCATTATTGGCTTTTGAGAGTTACTCATATATTTTGGATCCAATTCTTCATCAGATATATGAATTGCAAATATTTTTTCCCAAGCTATGGCTTCTCTCTTCATTTTCCTTCAGTGTCTTTCAATGAGCAGAAGAGTAGAAATTCACAATTTTGATCGAGTCCAATTTATATTTTCTAATGGATCACAATTTTAGTATTATATTTTTAAAATATTTGTCTAATCTAAGATCACAAATATTTTCACCTGAAAGTGAAAGTATTCTCTCAAGCTTTGTATTTTTAGCTTTTATAATTGAGATTTGAGTCTTTGATGATTGTGAGGTGGGTTTTTCTTTTTACTGTATTTTGATGATATGAATCAAAGTTATTTTTGCATATGAATATTCAATTTACTAAAAACACAACTCTTTTTTCTATAGAATTGGATCTATTCTTGTGTTTAAGATCAGTTTACTGTGTGTGTTGGTGTTTTCCTGGGCTCTCTATTCTTTTCCATTGACTTATTTAT